CACTAATATTAGTCACATTATACATCAGTATAAATCCAGAGTAACACTGTAGGCCAGAAGCTCTCATCTTCTTAAATGTCTATGGGAACTGATCATTTTGAAAATCTGTCCCCAAGTCTTCAATGTATTGGATTTCTTTTGTTCTACTCTTCTAATTTTTCTCCCTCTCTCTCTCTTTCCAACCACATGTACACAGTCTTTTCCTTTCACAGAACTATTTTCATTACTCTACTTTGCAATATTGTATTGCTCTATATATTTCTGTTAAAGATTCATTTGGATCTATGAGAGATATACTTCAAAACTAAACCACATGACATGACCACATGGCAGACAAACAGACATGGGGACTGTGTGATATTATTACCATGGCTTTTTGTGTACTTGTATGTTTTTGCTCCCCCTTTTCTTTCATTTGTTCCTTTCTTCCACAGCGAATAAACAATAACACTGAAAAAGAAAGTTGTTTTAAAAGTTAGCTTAACATCTCTGAATTTTTTGCTTTGACTCTGTTAACACAATAAGAGGTTGTTTTCTTCCTATTCTTATAATGTTTTTAGTAACAATATAGGGCCTGATCCAAAGCCCTATGAAGTCAATGGAAAGATTCACACTGAATTCAATGTTCTTTGAATCAGGCCCATAAAGAATCATTTAATCCTGCAATGCTTACCCAGGCAAACCCCTGCATTTTTAACACAAATTTTCCTCAATAAGGAGCTCAAGAACTAGCTTCTTAATAACATTAACAAAATTGTAAAGAATAACAATTATCTAAAATGTATGTAACATATGAGTTTATGGAGATAAATGATATGAGTAAACCATGTAAGTCTTATATAACTAAATGTTCTGGCTTGCTTTATTACATTTGAGTTGTAAAATAGCTAGGTAGCTAATACACTAGCTATAGTATTGACTGTATTTTCCTTAATTTAAAGAGCTTGCATTATGTGAAGGCTTTTTATTGTTTGTTTATAAATAAAAAGTCTAAAATAGCTACAAAGCTGAAAACCATTTTAGATGAGAAAACAAAAGAGAGAGAAATGTTTATACATGTCTTCTATTTATCTAATTTTCCACTAAAGAAATCTTATTATCTATGTTCATTCAGTGCATGATGAACTAAATCTTACTTTATCCACCTGAAAATGTATACTAAACTCATATGCAACTGTATGTCCAGCACCTCATATGTAACTTTATTTAAAATATAACCATGAAACAATATATAATTTAATAAACAATATTACCTATGTGTATGGAACAAAGTAATGTGATGCTGTTTTGTTTGGAAAGTCATTTAAGCAAAGTTATACAGATCACAAGGTGCAGAATTGCCCCACTAGGGAAACCACAAAGAAACTAAACCTAGTTGAATAAAATCAAATAGAATTGTATACGGTCTATACAACAACCACCACCAGCAGGTGTGATCTAACTGGATCTTAGAGGAGAATTATATACAGAGTGAGATTATTAACTGAGTTGCAAACAAACACCTAATAATTACTTTGAATATGTTTTCTTTGAGACCTTCCCACGGTCCATGTTTGAACTAGTAATGGATTTTTAATTGGGGGAGGGAGGCAATTTTTCTACTGGGGGCTCTGCCTACCACCTAGGTATTTATTGCTCTACAAATTGTAACTTCCTTCTTGCATTTGACTAACAGCTTCAGTTGTAAATCATTGACTTATGTTAAAAGAAACAGTGTGTACCCTATGCAGATCATTGTGCTTGGAGTAGATGAATCAGACCAGTAGTGGAACCAAATTGTAGATCACTCAGTATTAAAACAGCATCACTGCATCACTGCAAAATGGGTGTTTGTAAAATTTATTACCATCTAACAATTTCAGAACTGATTTATTTGCTTTCAGATTTAATAGTTATGTTTATATATTATTTAAAAAGAATTAATAATATAAGGCAGTGTTAGTCATAATACATCACATATCTATATATATACATATAGTTATATATGTACATATATATATAGTTCAGTAATTCTTCTATGGTAGTGAATTGGAAATATATATCAGAAATTCTGTTATTAAATTGAAGTACACTACTACTAACAATCTGCCTCAAACACTTTACATAGTGACTTGGTAGGAGAAATATTATCTGAATGACATTTAAATGTAAGAACATTTAGAAATATTTCTCTAACAAGATCAAGCATAAAAAATAACCAACACTTAATGTGTTCCACTTAAAATTACACATTTCAACTGAATTAATAGCTCATTACAGGTTGTAATTCTAATGTAGTTGCACGCTGTCTCTAGCCTATTCTCCCCCTCCACATTAAGTAACAGACTCAAACTGCTTTCTGATTATTACTTTGGGGCTACAAGGAGCTTTGGGGCATAATTAAAAATATTTCCAGAAAGAATCTGTAGACCACATCTGACGTCCCACCCTCTGATAGAATTAGACCACATCAAAGGGACCTTTTTTGTTTTAAAAAATGGTCACCAGACAACTTACAATATACAAGAGTGGGCTTATGTTTTATTGTATAGATGTCTGACTAGAGCAAAACGACTTAAGGTTGCTTGCTATTCAATGTTGCACCAAGTGAGACAAGGTAGCTATAGCCCTTTGATATTTCACTGGAGGTCGTATTCATTTCATTTGAAAGGGAACCATTAATGACAGACCTATAAGTGTTCTCTTCCCTAATAAGTAGAATACACATCGTTTGGGAAGCATGTCTGTGTTAGATGCCCAGGGCGGAAAGATTTGTAGATGATGGTGCTAATTATAAAAATGGTAACCATAATGTGATCAAGATGGAAGCAATTTGAGCAAAAGTCATTAACGTGTTACTCTTCCACCCACTAGTCTTTTGCTTTACTATTGTAGGAGGGAAGTATCTTGTGGGATTTTTTTCCAGAGTACTAATGAAAAACTCCCTAGAAATCTAAAACTGTACATTTTCAATTTCACATCTTTATGGGGATCCAACAATCGTAGACATCACCCTGAGTTTAGCTATGAAGAGACTTACCTAATATTTCTAAATAATCATTATATTTTTGCCCTTCTATAGCTATCTGTTGATATATCTTCAAACTATTTTCCTCGTCATCTTAGTACCTAGGTGCTATTTTGTGCAGTAATTTGTGGGTGATAAAGGATTCATAAAACTCAATGTACTATTCTCCTTCAGAGAAAACGTGTTTCAGGGAGGACTTTTGTTTCAATGTTAACTGAAGGATTTGGCCGTTACGTAATGATCTTATTTTAGTGCTTTGTGTGTTTATAGGCTCATATTTTTCATTAGCTTTTATATTTTAATCACGTTTTTACTAAATAGACTGTACCTACATAATTGCATGCATGTGGCATTGCAAAAAAAAACACACTAAAAATTAATTATACAAACATGTATCAGTTCTCAATCAAACTCTCCTTGTGAGGTTGGGACATAACTTGTCGAAAAAAGACGGAGGATGGTACTGGTGGGGAGGGGTGCTTGTTCGTTCTTTATGTATTTCTCTGTATTCCAGACAACTAAAGGATGAAAAGCCTTTTAGGGTTGGAGGGCTACTAAGTTTTAAGTATATCTAAAAGGGAATAGCTTTCTAGATCACTTTGTCCGCCTCCCATTCCTTGTAGAAAAGGATCGTTTCCCTTTGATTTTTCCGTCCAGTAAAAGCTTATTTTCTTCTATATTGCTTTAAAGTGTAAGAAACTTTTCTTTTCCTCCGAAGGAAAGACTTATTTTCTATATATTCTTGTAACCGACAGTGAATAAAAATCATATTGGTCAAGGTCAAATGGTCGAATTTTGACATGGCTCCATTCAAAGACGCATTTGTGTGGCCTTCAGTCACATGAATACTAATTCTTTCTCAAACACTTCCAGGAAACTTTTAATTATTGACTGTTTCATATGAAAATCTAATAGACGAGCATCTTTTGAGTAGTACACCTGGACAGCATAATTTTTTTATAGAAGTTGGATAACCTTTTGCGTTCCATTTTTCTTTATAGGTAACTCCACTAGAAGAGAAAAAAAGCTGATAAAGACGTGTGAAGCTGCATACCAGCAATTGCAGACCTAACTGTTATGCCTGATGTAATTTACCAGACAACAACAAATAATAAGTTAAGGAAAAAAGATTAAAACCAATGTCTTGCAACTATATGCACGAATATATATACTTTCTCTGTAACTGGGCGCACTTTGCATTAGTTAATTTAGAAATTCGTCAGTCTTAAAAGACCCATACAAATATTGCATATTAGCAACCGTGAATTGATTGATTTACTAATAACTGTTTTCTTTCAGAGTTCAGGACAAAGGGAAGAAAGAAGTTTAAGTCACTAAAGGCTGACAGTGAAATCCTTTAATGCGTATTTTCCTTTTAGCCACCGGAGCAGCCAGTGTCTGAACCCCTTTTATTATGCTCCCTTTTTTAAATGTGCATTTGTAAAAGCTGCTTCCCCGAGTTGTTTTATCTGGACATCAGTCATCCCAGTTGTCATGTGTTGTGATTTGCGATAGGGAGTAGCCAGGGAGAAGTGACAGACCCCAGGGATGAGCTCCTCACCGTATAATTTTCAGATGCATACTTGTTCTATTTTGGATCTTTCAAAGCAGGGGAAACCAAGGCAGAAACAGCTCTCTGGCCCTCAGCTGGGTTGCTGCTGCTGCCTCCCCCCTCTCTCTGTGATGCGGTTATCCGCAAGAAGCCATCGTGTGTGTGTCTCTTTCTGTGTGTGTGATGCTGTGTAATTTTATCCAGGCTGCACTCTGGGAGTTCACACAAGACTGATACCTTTGCCTCCCTGCTTTGTATCAATTGGTCGCAGATCAGGCTATTGTTGCAGGAAGCTTCTTTCATTTCTATGCTCCGTCGATCAACGAATTTTCCCCACAGTCTCTTCCTGAAATTCAGTGGGTCTCTCTCTCTCTCTCTCTCTCTCTCTCTCTCTCTCTCTCTCTCTCTCTCT